CCTGCTGTTTATTAATCAGGCATTGCTGAATGCACATACAATTAAAGTATCTCTAGCCACATGGATTTTCTAAATTGACTGGTTGTCACTGACGTAGGTACTTTTTATGTACAGAATTCAGAGTGCTTCTTAAAAGTCATTTGCTAAGATCACTTGCATCAGTTTAATATTGGAAGAACAGTTTGCAAGGAGAATTAATATGCTAGGTTTAAAATGGTATGCGTATGCTGGGCTTATGTGAAGAGCATGTGCAGGGCAAGTGCGTTTCCAATGTTTATCAAATCAGTTGGCTAGCATATGTGTTCTGACTACCTGGAGGTAGATGTAAATAAAAATTTATTTGCAGTTCCTCAACTAACTGTTAATAAAATCTCTCTCTTCTTAAACCACTGTAGTGTTCAGGCAAATGAGATCAGATGTCAACTAGGCATAGGAAAAATTCGTGATACACTCCTAACCTTTTTCACTGCTGGTACCTGAGGAACCGTGATCATAGTTTGCAGACATTCATAATAGTTTTTGTGTATTTGCTCCTGCTAATACACAATTTTTATAGAGAATTAATGCTGCAATTTAGTGTTGTTTATGGCATCTGATTTGACTCACTCCTGCTGAGGTCATCTCACTGCTTAAAACTATCGGTTTCAGTATCTGATATAAATGTCTCCTTCATGTTTAGACTTAACCTGGCTGGACTTGAGTGCAGACATGAAGGATGTATGCTCTGGAGTAATCAGATTTAGGTTAAGACCCACTCTTTTGCAGAGGTGGAGCCACAGGTTGGATGGTACCTCTGTCTCCTCAGGCTTGGCATGAAGCGGACAGCCTGATGGCGTTGGCCAGAACAACTCTGCGGGGCTCTCTTTCCTGTGGGAACATAATACCAGAGCTTATAATGGCTCAGGATTCACTTGAACCCAGATGTCTGAGATCTAGACTGGATGTAGTCCAGACTGTCAAGGTTCTTTCTGCACATCTGGTAAACCCAGTTACAATTGGGTTTATATTTTCAATACTGTTTAAGCAGTAGTGCACGTGTAAATGATTTATTTTCTAGTAAAATCTTACACTCCAAATAACAAGAAGGCATTGTGAGAGGAATTTGATACCAGCATCTTCCATATGAATATAGACCCTGATGTTACCTTCTTAAGTAAATAATTGAATTCATGATCAAAAATACCACTGAAGAGGAGCACTTACTGTTGTAGTCACTATGTAAGGAATGTGTAAAGGAAAGCTGCAATGTGTTCATACTTATATTTCCAAAATTTGTAATAGGGTTATATTCAGAAAACACTGCTCTTTCTGATGTTTTATGCAGGTTTTTTTATTTTGTAAGTTTTATGTTGTTACTGAAATCGGTTATTCCAGGAGTGAAGAACAGCAGGCACTTGATGTACAAAACAGCAGCAGGACAAGAGCTTTGACCAAGAGTACAATGGCAAGCCCTGATCTTAGAAACAGCTATAGGATATTTAGAGCAGATATGGAGCAAGTGGTCTTATGGCTGATCATAGAGGTCTCATCAAAGGAAAAAATAACTCCTTTAAAAAAAGACTCATGCATAGTACTTGCTTTACAGATCAAAGGTGTGGTAGAAATTTGTGATTCATCAAATCAGGATATAAATGTAGAAGTTCCTGCTTCCCGTCTCCTACCTGATGAGTAGCTCTTTCTCCTGGTTCACACGTTCAGAATTTTCTAGATACGGATACCAAAATTTTTTATGTAGCAAATATGTATGTAGGAGTCTGTCAGGGCTTATTCCCCAATATTTCTATATCCGAAAGGATCCCAAAACTGGATTTTCTGCTGAAGTTCAGTTTTAATTGCGGAAGGTTCAGGAAATTGCATAGTTGGTCTAAAATCTCCCCTTTCTTCCATAAACCACTTCCTGTTTGGAAGAAGCTGAGTTCACAAATGTGAAAGTTATGAGAATAGAGTATCTACTATTCTGCACTGCAGTATGAGGAAAAAAAAAGTTAATTTGTCTAGTGCACAGTCTGCAACAACTTGGATTTGCCACATTTGTGGCGAGACCTTTTAAGAAGTAAATGCCTTGTAGATAGTGTATTCTAAGCTAATATTAATAATTTGATTTTAATAACTAGCTCAGTTTTGGAATTAAGCATCTGGATGTAAAATACTGAATGGTTTCCCTGAATATAAGTTCTAAAATTAATCCTTCATGCCATTTTTCTTTGATGCAGTATGTCCCTTTAAGCATCTACCAGTATGGCATCACAGAGGGATGTTTGTCTCACCATTTGAACAAGGCCATTTTGGATTGGCACCACTTTTAATGGATATGAATCATGTAGTTTTGGAACATCTCTGTGAAGAGATTATTTGTCATATACTGAGAATATCTCTTGCTTTCTTACCATATCCACCAAAAATGATGGGAAAGAACTCCAGAAATAGGGCAATGATATTTTTATTCTTTTCTTACTGTGTTGCTTACAGGCGCTTACTCCTGCTCCCACTAGAATCAGTGGAGGAGAGCTGGCTCATGCATTGTTTTCTACGTTGGCTTATAGTTGTGGATTTCTTCACAGAGTTAGATGATAGTCAAGTATTTTTTAAAGTTAAGCTTTTTAATAGGAGTTTTATATTGTCTTTTACAAGTTTTTATTATTTTATTTTCTTCTTTAAGCATGGAGTCATTGCTACAGAAGATGAAGAGTATTTTATTGAGCCTTTAAGGAACATAACAGAAGATTCTAGTACCTTTAATTATGAGAACGGTCATCCTCATGTTATATACAAAAAATCTGCCATGCACCAGCAACATCTCTATGATCACAGTCACTGTGGAGTCTCAGGTAAATGAGTGTCATTACTTTTAAAAAAATATAACTTAAGATGTATTTTAAAGTCTTGTTTGGTTCACCTGTAAGACACAGTGGAGAAGGTATTGATGGGGATCCTCCTTTGGGGTGATGAATGTGCCCTATTGAAAAGTAGTTTTGCGTGTGTGGGGTTTTTTGTTGTTTTTTTTTTTTTAATTTGGATCAAGAACATAGTGTGTTTCAAAAACCAAGACACTGGGAGAAGTCTTGTTTTATGCCTGTGTTGTGTACGGTGGTAGTAATGAGCACAGGCTTCCACAAAATATTCTATAAATGTACTTTGTTCCCCAACTGGAAAGCATGATGGAGTGACTAAGTATTACAGCTCAATGTGTAGTAAGTGTTCCATCTCATTTGAGTAAACTTGACATGCAATAAATGTGTTAGTGTTATGATTAGTAATACATTTGGAAATGGGACCACATCTTTCACATTTATGGAAGTTTAAGGTGTTTTGATACTGGCTTTTGATTCAGTGGGTTAACATTAGTCCATAATAGTTGAATATGTGATTTACAGGTGCTTTATGGGAAGGATTATATAGTTTTGATCGCGAGATACTTTCATTGTAAAGCAGTTGTAACTTCCACAAATACACTTTTCAAGTACTCTTTGACATGATTTTTCACTTGCTTAAACTAAACTAACTTCTTGAAGACAGAAGGGACTAAATCTGACAAGTTATTTTAGAGCACTAAAATTATGTTGGTTTTTTTTTTAACATAATAGAAACATATTCTAACCTTGTCATTTGTTTATATTTCAGAAATAGCTTGTTCTTAAAAGTTCAGTCCTGGATAGTTGTATTCCATGAGATTCAGTGCATAGGACAGGCTGACAAATACTAATCTTAAAATAAAATAATATCACTGTTCATTGATGTACTTATTTTTCTTTTGGAGTTTGTAACTTTTACTGGCACCAGCTGACTAAACTTACAGTACAGATTGTCTACAAAGGCCCATGCTTGGGAGATAGTTTTTCCTGAGTGTTTCAGTTAACTGTGTTTAGGGAATGTCAGACTTTATGTATGTAACTTCTGCTTTAGCTTGGAAGCGTTATTCCATCTACGTGCTTCTAATATTGCAAAAGAACTCTCCTAACTACTAACCTGCTAACCAACTGATTGTAACCTACCTGCTAACTGATTGTAAAATAAGAGTGCTATAGGGAAAGCTGTCACTTAAGCCTCTTGAAATAAGTGTAAGGATTATGAAATGTAGGATGATGCAATTTTTCCCATTATTATATCCCTAGAAAAAGAGAGGCTGTTTGCCTGTGTTAGATGTTATCTTCTAGATTAATGCTTAGGAAATCATTCTCCTCCAAGTGAGGATGAAGCAGTGGCAGCTAGTTTGATCAAATTGCATTCAGTCATTCTGGCTGTGTCTGTTGTATGGATCATAGGTTGATCAGAGCTGTGCCTCTTGTGTGCATTTTTTGGTGAAACATGCAGTAATCTTCAGCATTTATTCTTTTGCATATTTGATGCTGCCTTTGTTCTTGGAAGCTCCTGTGCATTTCCTGAGCTTTCATATCTGTTGCATCCTGAAGTTCTTAATTATTGAAATACTAAAGCACTGCTTTATATAAGCCTGAGACTACTATCATGCTCATTCATCTCAGTTTCTCCTTTTTACGTTCTGTCTACTACTTCCACTCCATGAAAATTGCTGGAAAATTGCTCTCACCCCCCAAAACTGCTAGATCTTACTTTTCCAGATGACATGCTGTTTTAGTGTCCTCCTCATGGGTACCAAAACCTTTTAAACTTGCTTTGTGAGGACTGTTGCAGCTTTATCCCGAAGTGACATGGTATCCAAAGCATCCCCAGAATATCTAAAAAGTAAAATAAAATATTAATTTTCAGTTTCACAGCTTTCAGACCCTAGGACTAAAGCCAGGCTTACAGTAATCTTTGGGGCATTTCACTAGTTTTGAAGTTTTGAGCAGTCCGTTTTGTGTTTTAAAATGCAGTTGTAACAAACTTGTAGCTGCCTTTTGGCAGCAGAGAATTTATTTTGTCTGGAGACTGATTTTAGCTTTACCTTCAGAACAGTTTTGCCAGTATAATATGCTGGGAAGAATCTGCTTGTGTAGCTGTGCCACTATTCATGGTCTGGCAAGTTTCCCCTACTGTAATCTAGACCTAAATTTATCACGTACCTGTTCTGTATCAGGGAAGTGGTCAGGATTTTGAAGTGTTGATAGAGACAAGAGGAGTGTTATTTCTGACCTTTCTGAGAAAAACTGCAATAATTGATAGAAAGTGGGGTGGGGAGTTTGGTGAAAGGATGATCAGAATTGGTTGGGGTGAGAAGTGATGGACTACTTCATAGGGGATAGTAGAATTATGGTGACTAATACAAGAGAAAAATTGGAGACACAGGGAGATTCAGATACGAACACGGAATAGATTTTCATAACCTAAATTAGATTTTAAGCAGTTAGACATAAGAATGTTTAAAAAATAAAAAAATGTTAAATTACTATTTCATTCATGTATTGTCATGAAGTTAACTATGCTTTATTACATACAGCTGAAATCATTAAGGCCTTGGTAAGAAGTTGACTACTGTCAAATTCCAGTTGCTCCAATGGGATTTGAGGCCACTGGGTTATCTTACAGAATGCTGTGTTTGGATAGGATAGAGAAACAACAAAAGCTGACGTATGAAAGCTGCAGAGTGGCAGATTATTTAGGGATGCCTCTGCTATATACTGCCTTATGTAGTGGTTTTACTTGTGACAGAATTACAGTTGGTGTATTCTAAAATGAAAAAAAGCTTGTATGTACATAAATGATGATGTTAAAATAGTAGGAAAACAGCAGCAAATAATGCTTCACTTCAAAATATTCTCATAGTTGCATCTTATCTAAGTAGCTTTCTATTGCATTTTGAGATCTTTTTCTGTTTGTGTTCTCTCCTCTCTCTCCACCTTCACCTCCACCCAACATCTTTAGAGGACTGACTTAGGAAAACTTAGGTACCATAGTTGTGAACTCCATGTCCACACACATTGGGTTTTATTTTTAGTTGCAATTTAAAACCTAAGACCCTGTTTTTGTAATCATTATTTTGGGGATAATTACAGTGGTTTTGTGGGTTTGGTTTTTTTTTTTTAATTTCTATTTTTGCCTTTTTTTTTTTTTTGTTCACTTCCAGGTAGCTATATTTGATCTTAATGAAGTTTAATTTTTTTCTTTTTTTTAATCTAGGAATATGGTGGAAAAATGACATAATTTGCCACAGAACTATTATTGTTAAAGATATTGTAAACTTTTATTGACATGTTTTAGCTTTTTAAAGAAAATTCAGTCAGCATTATTTAATGTTCTTTAAGTAAAACAGCATAAGTATTGATAGATCCTGGAGTGTGAGCCTGAGTGTACTCAGGATTGTTTCTAGCTTTCCCATTTGAGACCAGCTGAAGCCTGAGCTTCTCATCTGATAAGAAAAGGAGAAATGTTTGTTTTTGTGAAGTCTTCTGAGACCTTTGCTTGAAAGACACTATCAAGATGAGTCCAAAATAATATTTTCTTTTTCTTCACTGAAAGTTTTCTGCATGAGGTCATCGGTTTTCAAATGCTTAGAATAGATTTGCATCTTTGAGTAAAAAATTATGAATGAATGTTGTAGCAGTATTGCATTTCTGAAGTACTTCTAGCACTCTTAGTATCGGAAACCCTCAAACATCACCATTTGTTATTTGAAAATGAAGAGTGGATTTTTAAAAATTTTAGTACAGAAGCTGTCAGAGAAAATTCCAGACGTTCCTAAATCACTGCTTAAGTGAGATGAAAATCTTTGAACAATTAAAGCAACTTTGAATTTCCTACAATAGAGATGAAAAAACAGGAAAAAGCTTAGTATTCATTATAGAATCCTCAACAGGCTTTAATATTGGATAGAGTTTTTTAGAATGGATTGTACCCATTGCAGAATGAGAACAATTTTGTTACCACCATTTTTTCAACTACCATGTTTATTTTCATTTTTTGACTTCTCTAAAACGTGAACCTTTTCACACCAACGCTGTGGGCTCAAAAATGACGAAACACTGGAACAGTGGGAAGGCTGAAGCTTTGTATTCCTCGTTTTGACCTGAACATACATTCTTTGTGGTGTAGTTACTGCTCTTTGAAAATAATGTGCTTAGTTGAATTGCATAAAGCATTGCTTTTTCATGGAAGGTACTGGTCCTATGTCAACTCATCCTTAGTTGAACCGGTTTTAGTAGAGATAAGGATACATCTCAGAAATTGCTTACTTGAGCAGTCGTCTTCAGACAATTATAAATGTATCTAATTGTTAATGTTCTTATATCATCCATAGCTAGCAAGAATACCTTAGATATTTTGAAATCCTATTTAGGTAAAACCAGACTAATAATATACTTTGGTAAACTCAAGGTTGAGAGCTGTGTGGGCCTTTGTGGAAAAGGGATATTTAATACAGACAAAAATGCCAGTTTTGCAGGGAAGGGCGGGTTCAATTTTGTCCTGAGGACAGGAATTCAAATTCAAAGTAAGTTTGTAGTGTTTGTTTTGCTGATAATTACAGCTGTTTGGATCTTTAATAATGAATCTCTTGCATGAAGAGATTCATTTTTTTTTCTATATATTTTCATGAAACAAGAATCAACATATTTGAATTAAAATTAGTGTTAAAAGTAACTATAGCAATTATCCCATGTCAGGCCATTTTAAACTTTCCATTTTAGTTAATACACGAAGTAGATAAAACATAATCTGATAGCTTTCTGAAGAGAAAATTTATTTGGCCTAAAACCTATTAGGCATGTAAGCATAATTGCCTAATAATTAGAGAGTTTCAGAGGAGGGAAAAAGCTTTTTAGTGCCTTATCAGCATGTTTAATTCCTTACTATATTTTGATACCTTTTACCTTAATTTTGAGGTTTTGATTTCCAGTATGGTTTTTTCCAAATGTTATAGCTGTCTTGTTCTTATCCTTAAAATTCTGAAGTGTGCTTGTGGTTAACTGTAACTAATTTTAATATTAACAGAGATGTGTGGAATCAGATCCATTAAGACAAAATTGATGATTTGTTATCCTAAGTCAAGTTAAGGAGTGTTGAGAATATTAGAAATCAAAGTTGGTTTTCCATTATGTAAGGTATTTTAAAGTAATAATTTAAAAAAAAGATCATTTTTCTTTGCCTCAAGAAAGGCTTCTTTTTAGAAGCTTGAGGATGGTAATCTCAACATAAGACTGCTGCATTTGAATGAGTTTTACTAGTGACCCCTCTAAATTGTTTAATTATTGTCATTCCCAGAAGACCTCACAAGAAACGGTAGACCTTGGTGGATGAGTAATGCATCTGCAACGTCACTTCCAGTCAATGACACATTAAGTAGTCATAGTCGACAGAAGAGATCAGTAAGCCTTGAACGGTTTGTGGAAACGCTGGTAGTAGCAGACAAAATGATGGTGGGATACCATGGTCGCAAAGACATTGAACACTACATTTTGAGTGTAATGAATATTGTAAGTTTCATCCCTCTCTGTGTTCGTATTAATACGCATATACTGAAATGATAAAGCAACTGTAAAGTATTCATTTATTGTCATGAATAATGCTTTAAAATATGTATCAGCTTGCAGGAATTAATAGTTGAAATATGGCAAATGTTAGAATTGTGGGAAGAATGCAGTACTGTTTCTGTCAAGAAGTACACTCTGATGGCTTTTAAATTGTCTTTAATTTTAAATTCATATGATTACATTTAGATTTTACAGTTCCTTTTAAGTCAACAGTCTAAATGCCTCTTGCGCTGGATGAACTATGAAACAAGGTATAAACAGTTTTGATTGGAAAGTGTGCCCCAAGAAGTTTGTTTTACTGAATGGTCATTTTTTGGTCCAAAAATAACTCTTATTCAGGTGATAATGATAATTAACATTATGAAATTACATTGAGTGAGAAAATAGGTTAATTCTTAACCATTAAGGAAACAAGTAGTGTTTCTTGTCTGACTTTGTGCCTTTTCTTATTTTCTGGAGGTCAGGTTGCCAAACTTTATCGTGATTCCAGTCTAGGAAACGTTGTGAATATTATAGTGACACGTTTAATTGTCCTCACTGAAGACCAGGTAAGAGCTGTTGCACTAAGCTTTATATCCCTGAAATACAAGTTACGTTATTGTGTAATATAGATTTCATGTAATTATTGCTTGAAATGGCTGGATCTGAGTACAAAACGTATCTTGTAATCTTTCACTGCTTTAATCAAGATGAAACAGTTCAAAGGATTATTCCTCATGTATCATCTCAAAGATATCTGTTCTTACTTCAGGTGAATATTAATACACCTTCGGGGATGTCAGTTTTATTTTTAGATCTATATTTTGATATTCTGATTTTTTTGTATTGACATAATCATGTTTAAAGTTGGAGCAGAAAGAATGCCTGTTTAGTAATACACAGCTGAACTTGGGGTCAGATTTTAGACAGATAAAATTTGGCAAGAAGAGTTTATTCCTAGAAACCATTGCTTCTAATTATAGCCCCATTTTAGTTTTCAAAAGGCTTAACAACTGACCTTAGTAATTTGTTTGGAACATTTCTGGTATGCATGTTGTATTGCAGCCAAACTTGGAGATAAACCACCATGCAGACAAGTCCCTCGATAGCTTCTGTAAGTGGCAGAAATCCATTCTCTCCCACCAAAGTGATGGAAACACCATTCCAGAAAATGGGATTGCCCACCATGATAATGCGGTTCTTATTACTAGGTATGGTCATTATAAGTATTGTGTTTACTTTATTTTATTTCTGTAGCTTTCTTGTTCTTACATTATAGATATATGTAGGCCAGTTGTAAAGTAATATAATTGGTAGGTAATATTAAGAGGAGGAACATTAATAGATGGCTTGTCCTAAATATATCAAACTATTAAACTATAGATTAAGAATTTGGAAAAGTAAGATCTGCAAATTACTTGCTTCTGCTGTTATTTTCACTTCATAATTACCAATTCCAGTAGAACAGGGGGATACTATTGACATTTTATACTTTTATAATTGAAAAGAATTCAAAAGATTATGGAGAGCAAAACAGTATGGAAAATGTTTTGTCAACCATATATGATGGTTTTTATAAGAATTTCAAGCCAGAACCTCAACTACTGTAACAGCATTTCTGCTGAAAAACAGGTTCTTGCAGATTCAGGCAGGCAATGTGAGAATCTGCTTTGTAGCTGTTTTGATTTATTATGCTTAATTAAGATGAGAGCTTACAGTTTTAATAGGCAGTTTCAAAGCCTGTGTATGTGACCGTTTGTTTGCTTCTATTCCGCCATTACTGCAATAAATTTAACAGAGTTTGCACTGCGATCTTGCCATCCTGGTAAATGTATTCCTGTTTGTCCTTTGCAGTTACGGGTAGGCAACTGTATGTTATTAGGAGGTCAGTTTCCCTGTTGTTTAAGGACACTATTTATTCTTTTCTATTTTGTTTAAATAGCAGCAGGTGTGGCAGCACTAATTTGGATTGGGATCTTTTTATTATAGTTTCTGCTTTCCAGGACAAATTCTGTACTGCTTTGTTATGTGACCTATTTGTGGAATCATTGCGTTCACTGCAGAAAATTTTTAAATAGTGATTCAAGTAACGGATCTTTTCTGGAATTTTGCCTAAAAGGTGTAAAAGTGGTTGGTTTTTTTGGGATGGGTGGGGGTTTTCATTGGTTTTGTTTTGTATAAGGAACAATTTTTTTTTGAGAGGAAAGAAAACCTAATGAATCCCTTGCATGTATTTTTGCGTTCCTATTTCAGATACAATTGTTACATGTGGTCATTGATAGTTATAATTCAAGAAGTTTAAAAAAAAATAAAGTCTCTAATAAAAATAAATTGAATGAAATTTAAAGTACAGTAATGTTCTAAGATCTTGATTTTTCACAAAGGCCTTTGTTTATGCTCAGTTTTTTGCATACAAGTAATTTTAAGCTGGAGAAGAGAAGACTGAGAGAGGATCTCATGAGTGCTTATAAATGTCTAAAGGGTGGATGTCTAGAGGAGGAGGCCAGACCCTTCTCAATGGTGCCCAGTGACAGGACGAGGGGCAACAGGCACAAACTGGAACTCAGGAAGTTCCATTTGAACATGAGGAAAAAGGTCTTCACTCTGAGGGTGACCGAGCACTGGAACAGGCTGTCCAGAGAGGTTGTGGAGTCTCCTTCTGTGAAGATATTCAAGCCCCACCTGGACGTGATCCTGTGTGACCTGCTCTAGGTGATCCTGCTCTAGCAGGGGGTTGGACTAGATGATCTCCAGCGGTCCCTTCCAACCCCTGCCATTCTGTGATTCTGTGAATCTGAATTCCTTCAGTAGGGCTGCTCACATGTGAAATTAAACACATCTTTACAGCTGTGCTACACATCAGGCTTTTACTGGTACAATTTAGGAAGTGAGTGAAAGCGTAATCCGTAGGTGTTATGGTTGTGTCAGTTGAAGCCCCCCAATATGAATGTATAAGCTACATTGGCAACACTATATTTTTACTGTTATGGCTGAATAACTTGATGTTTTGTTATTGTTATTCTGGCACTGCAAAACACAGTTGCTTATTTTTTTTCACTGTTGTGCTTGAATAAGTTTTATTACTCTATATTCTGTACTGTCTTCCCTGTTCTGGTAGGATGTTCCCAGCATAGTTTCGAACAGTTCTGTATTCCAGACAAAGGCTTGAGTCAGTGCTAACTTGCAGGCCTTTAATTGCAAAAGGAACAAGTTTTCAGATAACATGAATACTACCCATTGGCAAGGGAGATTTTTTTCAGCAAGTAGTAAATATTAAGGACTTATTTTATTCTTCATTATGGGGGCTTAGTAATTATGTAAGTGTGCTGCAGTTTCTTAGGACTTGTCTATGCTATCTTTTAAAAAGGTCATAAGAGCTATTTTTATAACTTCTGAATTTACTTCTGAGAAGTTTGCACTTCTAAGTATATACCTATACTTTAAATCAACAGAGTGCCTCAGTGTAGTATCTGCAGGCTAGTAATACCTATCTTTATAAAGCATCACTGAGCTTTTAAGTTCAGTTATGTATACTTTCACAATCGAATGCTTGTATTCATTTATTTAGTATAATAATTGTAATTTCTAAAAATAATCCCAAAGGCTACACTAATCAATTTGAGTGAGTCAATCAGGCTTTTACTGAAACTGCTAGCTATCCTGGCTCTTACTAATAAAATGTATCAGCTCCTGTGAAGAATGGATTTTTTTCTTTTTTTAGGTTGGAATGAATAAAGATAAATTTATATTAATATAAATGCAGACCATTAACTTTAAATAACTCTAAATGAAATACTGAAATGGTAACATGCTTGTTTTCATTCTATTTTGTATCTCTCACCTGATGAGACAGAATTAATGCATTATATGTGAAAGAGAAGGGTATAGCTACAGTGCTTTAAAATCCTGATGTGTTGGAGGGGTCTTTAATAACCTCTTCTACCTGAAGGAATTTGAACCTATACTACCAAATATTAAGTTATATTTTTAGCCTCTGTAATAGTGTTTTGAAAGCGGTTTCCTGAATCTGTCCCACTGATGCTGCTCTGCTTTGTATGTGGTAATTACATTTTAATTGAATTTGACACTGGAACCATTTTTGGTCATTGTGTGTACTACTATTTTATGGAAGGTAGCAAAGTTTCAGTTCAACATTATGAATAGTCTTGTGTTGATCAAAACCAGATTTTTCAGTAAGTAATTGATGAATTTGAAAATAGTACCTAGCCCTAGCTGAGTATTTAAGTTTGCAACTGCCATAGTCTTTATCTGGAAGGTAGGACAAAGTTGTTAAGAAAAGGAGTCATTATCTTCATCTGTGCAAATGAAGACAGCACCTCAGCTTCTCTTAGCAACAAATGGCTTTCCTCCATGTTAGTTTCAAAGATGGCATGCTCTGATCTTGGAAAAAAACCCCGTATTAAGGGTGCTGATTCCCTAGGGGTTTCCGCTTGACCAACGTAGACAGACTTTTGTACCCTAAACTACCTGTATGCTAAAACCAGGTAGCCTCACTGGCATGGAGGTATGCCAAGCTAATCGAAGAAGTCCCCTGGAGACGTTACCATGCCTGCTAAGCCACTGGTCTTTGGACAAGAGCCTAGCTGTGTTCAGTGTGCCTGGTGTACGGGCTTCCCTGTCATGGTCCTGCAGGCACCCCGCAGTCTGCAGAGCACTTGTATTACTAAGTGGGAAGGGGATTGCCGAAAACTTCTTAGCTGATAATAAAAAATAAGGCAGGTAAGAGACTGGTTCAAGTAACAGCCTGATTCCCAACCAGGAGAGCAAAATTGTGGTGATGGAAATATATTATTACTTGCACAAATATGGACTGTGCTTTTCCCTTCTTTTATTAATTTACAGAACTTCTGTTTGTATTTTCTGAATCTTAATTTAAGCACTTAATGTTATTTCAAGATAAGACTGTGATTGAATTAATGTTCTAAAACAATGAGACCTGGTTTGGTTTTTTTTTTGGTATAGTGCTCACTCTTTGAAATTCCACCTAGATTTTTTTCTGTTGGAGACTATATTTGAGTCTCAAACTTTAATATTTTATCCTGTAATTGTCCAAATTGCGTTCTTGGGGGCAAGTGAAAGTAAAATACTAAGCAGACAGGTTTTAATTATGAAATTAATTAATAGTATAATGCTGTTAAGACAGTGTCTTCTTTTTTCTATGAAGTTACTTTCACTTTAGATAAACCTGGTGAATCCTTAAAATTCTTTCATATTACAAATTAAAAGTAGGAGAAAAATTTGTATGATTCTTTTATCTCAAGTCTTTTGGTAGACAAAAACTAGTCTTTGCATTTGGTTCCTGTATTCCTGCATCATGGCTATGATAATCTCACTTTTTAGCGCAATGTCGGGTTCTCAGATTTGTCATTTTAAGACTCGGTGTAAGTTTTGAGAGTATCTGTGTACTCTCCCTTGAGCATCCTATCACCAGTGTAGAAGTATCTATCTACCTTTTTGAAGTTAGTTCTTGTTTATTTGCTTTTATTTTTTTTAACCTTCATTGCTAGCTTGCTTACTCCTTTTGTTTCTTCAGAAACTCCCTAAGAAATAATCTCCATAGTTTAGCTTAGAACACAAAACTTGAGAGCTCACAGTGTACACTATGATAATTACTTATTTTTGAAGAACGCTTAACCCAGCTTTCCTTCCATTTCAATCAGTTGCTTCCTTCTCCAATCTTATAGATCATAAAGTAGGAATTACCAAGTTCCTCAGCAATACTTTGGTTACCTTGCAAGCATATACATTATGAACAAAACTATTCCTTGTCCTGGACACCTGCACAGAATGGTAAGGGCCAGAGGGTTGCATTCTAGGTTACACTTTGTAGCAGGGGTGGAGGAGGAGATGACAGAGTAAAAAAAATACCTTTTTTTTTTTTTTTCTTTTACACCCTAAGAGTTCTCTAGTACTACATTTGTGTATAGCTCAAGATGGTTAGTTTGATTTGTCCAGTTGCTAAATAGGTGGTTTTCCAAATCACATGTGTGACTGTCTGTCTGAACTCTGCAGCAATGGAGTCTTTTCCTGCTGGGAGGGAAGATCCAGAAGTATTGATCTACTGACAGACTCGGAGGCAAATTAAGTAAAAAGCGCACCAAACAGCCCATAGGGAGGAGAGTTTCAGGGGGAAGTTGATGCTCCTCTGTATGTGTATCTCTAAAGGGGCAGAACTTGGTCTTTGAAATAC